CTTTCAATTTTTCTGCTGCCAAAATTATTCAAAAAACATCTTCCATTGGAGAACTGGATTTTCTAGAGGCATTTCACATTCATAAAAATCTTTCTGTTCTAGTTAACGATCCTAATTCCAATCCAAATTTGCCTTCGGCTTTTAGAGAAATTATGTTTTAGTTCTGGTTTCGCCAACAGATGGCGCCACTTGCTTATTCTTGTCCAGGCTTTCTTATCTTATCTAAACATTATTTCCTATCTTGTTCATTTGCGGTTTTGCAGCTGAAGATGATGGTTCGGTAAAACCATCGAAACTAGTCCTGTGAAAATTTTGTGAATTAACGCTGATTTTTGTTGTTTGACTTCTGAATAAGTATTTAGAAGTCAAACAACAAAAATCTGAGTTATATTTTTGTTGTTTGAGTTCTGAATTAATACTTGTTCAGCATGTTATTTTATCTTAATTTGCACTCTGGCAGCTGAGGTTGATGGTTTGGTAAAAAGCATCAAAACTAGTGTTGTGAAAGTTTGCAAATATAACGCTGATTTGTGTTGTTTATCCCATCAGTTCGTTTTGTAAAAATGTTTGGCTAATCTTTGGAATATGGTAACAGGCAGTTTGGTGACATTTTGGTAGGCGATAAAGGTTACTACCTAGGACTTTGGCAATAATGTGTGAAGTACCCAGTTCCAATTACGGATTATTTTGTCTGAGAGAAATGAGATATCATGAGATATGTCATGTGACATTTATGGACGAATCACAGTTCTTTAATTGGAAAAGGGGGGAAGTTTGCAAAAATATGTGCAGTACTTTATAGCATTAACTTCATTCTATGTTGTGTGAAACAGCGTTGCTTAATATTTGAATCCCATGGCCCTATGTAAAGTAAATTCGAAATTTTTATTGCATTTATGTGTAATCCAAAAGAATTGCTTGAATGGTGTATGAGTGTAGGATTAATTGCGGATAAGTATGAATGTCCAACATGTGGGAATGAAATGAGATTGTGTGAAAGGAAGGATATTACAGATAAGTTTGAATGGCGGTGCAAGAAATCTGGTGAAAATGGACATTTTGTGATCCGCCATGCACTCAAGATTCTGTACAAGATTAGGTAAATTAGTATTTTTAATCATTTGAGGATATTATTTTTATGCATTGTTCTAAATATAAGGAATAAATAAATTAATATGCTATTATTGGAAAATTTTTATTAGCAATAAATTAGTTTAAAGTAATTAAGATTTTAAGCTAATTTTTATTAATTTAATGTATACGTTTATTTATATTTTAAGTAGTGTTTTTTAATTTAATTATATTTTAATTAAATGATAGTGATTTTGTGAATTATATGTTTGTAGCATTTTGGAATACGTTTTAGTAGAAGTAAATGTGCATGGAAATAATTTAAATATTTGACGCTAAGTATTTGCAACTATTTTTAATGTTTGCGTTATAAATTCGCAGGTGACGTTTATAATAAATAATTTAGAGGGAAAAGTTTTTGGATATTTTATTTATTTTATATGTGCAAATGTTCATCCTTGTAAAGGGTATTACTTTTTCGCGATCAGGTAATTTCATATATGTCCTTTTTACCGACTTTAAAGATTCACAAAATTTTCCTGCATTTTTGTGCAAATTTTTCTAATTGAGAAAAAAGCACTGTAGATGCATAAAGTCAAGAGTGTGCATAATGCCATTTTTGTGCAATTCTGGGAATTTTTTTTTTTTTTTAAGTGAAAATAGGTCGACGTGTACATAGTTACCGTGTATGTGCCATTCTTAAAACACGGCAAGGAATTTGCGATTCTGCACTTTCTCCCGATTTTGCTGTTCTTTGTTCCATAAAATGTCTAGCATAAGAATAATTCGGCTAGCAGATTGTTGGAAAAAATGTTGAGTAAATAAAAAAAAGAAACCTCTCTTTACTTCGTGAAGACAAAATGGAGCCGGAAAAAAAAGTAGGAGGTTGCTGTAGCAGGGTTGGTTGCCAAATTTTCGTCAAAAATCGCCAAGTTACCATAATTCAAAGATTAACCCAAATGTTTAACTGTGTGATGTGATATATGTCCATTGATTCATGCAAAGCTAGAGAAAAGCCTGGGCAAGGTCTTCAAATTTCTGGGGGTTATATCCTGAGAGAATCCTTCGACACATCTCATAATTGTCTGCTTTGATATAGCAATTTCGTCTGCATATTTTTCAGTGATTTCTCCCCCTTTTTTTAGGTGCATATTCTTTTCGCAACTGAATGCTGTGTTTTATAGTGTCTATTAAGATCATGTCTTCAATCATAAAAAAGTACTTTCACAAACAATGCAAAACAGTTTTTGTGGTGAATTTGCTTTAAATAATAACTTGTTTTCCCCTCTGTTTATTAATTTCACGCCTGCCATCACTCTTTGTGTTTCTTCTGGTCATTTTATTTGTAGTGTAATGGATTTTAAAAAAACAAATAGATCACAGTTACTTATATCATATCACACACGCATACAAAAACATAAATAAAACTGTTTTGCATTGTTTGTGAAAAAATGCTGTCTCAAAAGCTCTGTTTAAAAAACTCAATACCATGATGGCTCATTTGGAACTGACTGAAATGCCACTTGTAATCATCCAGTGCATCATGGTTTGGCCACCCCGAACATAAGGTGTTTTCAAAGTACTAGGAATGAATATCCAGTTCCTAGAATTTATCTAATTTTTACTGTTTGTTATTTTATGTCGATGAAATTCTTGTTAATCATTATCTTAGAAATCAGCCTACGAAAATAAATAGACAAAATAACATATTTTGATTTGATTGAAAAAGTTGTGTACAGTCGTTCAGCAACATAGCGTACAGCCGTTGAGCAACATATCGCATTTTCCCATCACATATCTTTCTCTTATTCAAGTAATATTTATAAATTGCCTAAATATTGGGTCAGTCCATAAATTTGTGCACATTTTTGGTAAATATTTAAATAATATAAAAAAACACAATTTAACATTTTAATCAATTATATATTTTCCTCCATTGTCTACAATGTCTCATCGTCTTATAGGCAGCTTTTTTATGCCATTGCTGTAGAAAGACTCTGGTTTTGATGCACAAAAACTTGGAAAGTTCATTGTGTACATCCTGTTTAGAATTTTATTTTTTTCCCAGTAAAAAATTTTGTAAGGCACGAAATAAGTGAAAATCACTTAAGGCAATATCTGGGGAGTAAGCATGAAGTGGCAAAAGCTCCCAATTAAATTTACTAATTTTTTGCAGCATTGTTCGAGCCGTATGAGGTCTAGCGTTATCATGATGAAACAACACTTTCTTGATATTCACCAATTGTGAGAGTTTTTTTGATCAATTCTGAGTTTAGGCGGCAAAGTTGTTCACTATAAACTTCTGAATAAGTCGTTTGATTTGGTTCTAACAGTTCAAAACGTCCTGAATGAGGTTCATCATCAATGCTGCTTTTTCCAACTTTAAATTTTTTAAACCATTTCTGGACAGTCCTTACACTAATAGTGTGTTCACTATGTACACTATTAATTTTTATCGCTGCGAACCTGGCAGATTCACCACACGAAAATAAAAAATGTAGCACAGCACGTTTGTACTGATTATCTATATTCTTCTTCTATGGGTACTAAAATGCGTTCGATATTTACAATAATTGGTGATGAACTTAATAATATGTGAGTCAAATGATGACAAGTTCAACAGGATCAAAATTGTATTGTTTTAGTAAATGCATCATAGTGAATTCCACGCATACTCATAATGCGCATGAACTTATGGACTGACCCGATAGATTTGGTCATATTCCTGTTATACATAAGATGTGTTCAGACTCTCATCTCCATCAAGTCAGTTGATATGCTTTAAGTTGATATGCTTTAAGTGCTATTCACTTAAAGCATATCAACTGTGATCTCACAAAGTGAATAAGATTTAATTGTTTAAGAAATATTTATGGCTATATTAGCTTTTAGTGCTTAAGTAGAAAATCAAAACTGTTCTGCCAAAATGCTTTGTCTATTTTTACGGTCTGTTTATAACTTGTATTCATGATTGCTTGATTTGGACCTTATAGTTTTCTCCAAGAAATAAATCTATAATCAAAGTAGAAGATGAAGGATAGTCAAATTTTTACTGAAAAGTTAAAGATTCTATCAATAATAAAAATCTTAATAACAGTTCTCTAAGCAAATTTTTTAATCAGCTTAATATGTCTACTTTTTATTCCAATTCCAAGATGTTTCTTGTATGCGAATGTGCTGAAAGTTTGTTGAGTTATATCAATAAGATTCGGTCTATTAGTAATCTTACAAAAATAAATAAATAAAAAAAATCAGTAATGAGCTTTTATTTAAAAATTCAATCATTTGCCATTGTTTTACTATATCTTGAATAAATGTATAATCCATCTAATTAGCTTTTATTTGAAAATTCAGTCATTTGCCATTGTTGTACTATTTTGAATAAATTTATAGTTTATCCGTTAGTTCAACAACATTAGTACGTATTCATTATATGATTTCTTTTTTATATATTTTCTATATAATTTCTTTAAAAATAATACATTACAATAACATACGGTAGCAGAGGCAAAAGTGATTTGGACAAAAAAAAAGTGAGGATCAACACTAATAACACTTGTGGTGCTTAAAAAAAGAAAGCATTTGAATAAGAAAAGTAAACAAAAAGAAAGGGGGCTTACTATAATTTAAAAATAAGAATTAAAACAAAATACAAAGCAGCTCCTATGATAAAATTGTTTAAACTTGAGGGAAAATCCACATTCATTTTAGTGAAGAAAGTAATAATTTTAAATTCATCCTTCACTCACGTTAATTTGCACACTGCTGCACTGTGTTAAAATTTTATTTTTTATACCAGTTTTATCCTAAGGGCTATTTAAAAACTGCAGGAATTTTTCATTAATAGTTTTTTTTTTTTTTTTTTTTTTTAAATTCTGTGGAGTTAAATGTATCTAATGAAATGTTTTAATTCATAAAAATATTTTCAGCTTGAGAAAAGTCCAAGAAAAAAAGCAGCTGAAATCATCAGGTTAGGATCTAACCCTTCTGTGAAACCTAGGACCACTCTGAATGTTCTTTCGGATGCCCAAGAGGAAGCAACTATAATTCCAGCGATTGGAGAAGAGCTGCACATAGATGAACAGCGTGCACTAGAGATGGTAGCAGAGATTGCACAACAGGCTGCAGTTAATTCATCTCAAAATGTTGGTTTAACGGTAAGATAATGCCTATGGTTTATAATACAAATATAATTGTACTCAGAAGCAAAAAGTTATCACTCATACCTTAAAGTTTTACTAAAAGACCAAAAGTGTAATTTTAAATATCTCTTGTTGTTCAAATCAAATAAAAATTTGTAAAGCCATATGCTTTTGTAGGAGCTAACCTCAGTCATAGCCCATGATGAACTGTATTTTTATTTCTGTCATTTTTTTAATTGAACATTTAGACCATATTTGTATGTTTAACAAGAATTATAATAAATCAGTTTTTTAAAGCTCTTAATTTAAAAATTGTAATATATAATTAAATTATTAAACACTGAAGTTTGGTCTTATGCTGCTTTTTGGGAAAGAATTTTCACATAAAAAGTGTCTTATTTGCAAAATCTTTCTTATAAGTTAGTTGACTATGACACATATCATTCAGGCCATTTTTTGTCCCCCTGTTTGGTCTGCATGCCTGGTGCACTTTAGAAATTTTTAATTATGTCTACAAACTTCAAATGGTTTATATTTCTGCCATTAAACAATGAAGAATCTGTTTGTGTGTTCCTCACATTGTAGATGTTATGCATGCTCATCATAGCCCTAGAGCCACTAGATTTTATGTTCACCTAATATTCCACTCAAACATGGGCATCTCAAAGTCCGAATTTAGAATTTCAAATATATTGATTTATTTCATATTTTGTTTGAATTTAAGGAATTTTTGATTAACATACTTCACATTTTAGAAGTCAGCCCATGGCAACAGTGTTCGAAATAGAACATTTTTATCTGAAGTTGCACCAGACTGTTGCCATTTGGCAGAATGTAAGATATTACATTTAATCAACAAACGCTGATGTTTATGTGTTACGACGGCCTAAAATAAAAAATTTTATCTTCTGTGCAGCAGCGTGTCGCCATTAAGTAATGCTTAACTTTCAGATTTAATCTATCTATTGAGTAACAAACTAAGAGATTCAAAACCAGTAAGCAAAATTTTCAAGAATATTTTTTCTAAAAGACCAAAAGTGTAATTTTAAATATCTCTTGTTGTTCAAATCAAATAAAAATTTGTAAAGCCATATGCTTTTGTAGGAGCTAACCTCAGTCATAGCCCATGATGAACTGTATTTTTATTTCTGTCATTTTTTTAATTGAACATTTAGACCATATTTGTATGTTTAACAAGAATTATAATAAATCAGTTTTTAAAGCTCTTAATTTAAAAATTGTAATATATAATTAAATTATTAAACACTGAAGTTTGGTCTTATGCTGCTTTTTGGGAAAGAATTTTCACATAAAAAGTGTCTTATTTGCAAAATCTTTCTTATAAGTTAGTTGACTATGACACATATCATTCAGGCCATTTTTTGTCCCCCTGTTTGGTCTGCATGCCTGGTGCACTTTAGAAATTTTTAATTATGTCTACAAACTTCAAATGGTTTATATTTCTGCCATTAAACAATGAAGAATCTGTTTGTGTGTTCCTCACATTGTAGATGTTATGCATGCTCATCATAGCCCTAGAGCCACCAGATTTTATGTTCACCTAATATTCCACTCAAACATGGGCATCTCAAAGTCCGAATTTAGAATTTCAAATATATTGATTTATTTCATATTTTGTTTGAATTTAAGGAATTTTTGATTAACATACTTCACATTTTAGAAGTCAGCCCATGGCAACAGTGTTCGAAATAGAACATTTTTATCTGAAGTTGCACCAGACTGTTGCCATTTGGCAGAATGTAAGATATTACATTTAATCAACAAACGCTGATGTTTATGTGTTACGACGGCCTAAAATAAAAAATTTTATCTTCTGTGCAGCAGCGTGTCGCCATTAAGTAATGCTTAACTTTCAGATTTAATCTATCTATTGAGTAACAAACTAAGAGATTCAAAACCAGTAAGCAAAATTTTCAAGAATATTTTTTCTACTATTTAATCTGATTGATATCAGTAAACATCCATTTAAATCATTAAATGTCTAATTAAAAATATTAAATATTTTTTTGAAATTAAATTATCTGGATTCATCAAAATCAACATATATTTTTTCTTTTTTATGATAACTTTCTAGGCAGCTGGCCACATAAGCAACTAGTGGTAGTAAATATTTAACATGTTGACTGCCGGGGTGATCACCGGCGGCTTTCACTCAACTAGGCTACAACATTGTGGGGGGAGGGGTAACTGGCAATGCAGAAAATAGTCAAAATACATAAATAGAGTAAATATTAATACTGATAAATTTTTAAACAATGAAAATAATAAATATAAAAAATGTCTACAGCGCCTGGTGTGTCACTGGTAATCCCCAACACGAAAAATGCGTTAAACACAATTATATGTGTTACTTATCTTCTGCAGATGATATTTCAACATAATATACATCGCATAATAAAACATTCATGTTGACGCCATGGGCAAATCACGTAAAATGCATGCAGCAGTCGACATGTTAATTACATCATCCATACTCGTCTAATAAACAAATGGAGTTTTGGATGACTGTAATAGTTAAACTGATTCTTTAAAAAATAATATGACTTAATTTTGAGTGGGAAGCTTGGAAGCTGATAATATATGTTTTGTTTAAATTTATTATTTATTTATTTATATGTAGTTTTATTTAAATGCCTAGTATATTCATAAGTATAATTTATTAAATTATTGTCTGTACTGTTTATCTTGGGATCTCTACTGTTTACCTTTAGTAATTTTATTACAGTTTCAGGGAAATTTGTTTATTTTTAGTACGCAGTTTCAACTAAAATTGTCTTGATGTTTTCTACAGGGCCTAGAATCCGGGAGTTCTTACCAGACTGTTACCATTGTCCCATCTGATACAAACCCTGGTGAACTGAGCTATGTAGTTTTCATGTCGGATCCTAATGATTGCATCGATAAAAGCGATGAAAACATTAATATGTCTGTTTATGATTTTAATGATGGTGAACAGTTTAGTGAAGCTTTCTTAGCAGAACAACTCGGTTCAGATGGGGTCAAGATGCGCACAATAAGATTATCAGCCAGAAGAACACAAATTGTAACTCAACAACATGTATGTAATTATTGTAGTTATACCAGTCCGAAACGATATTTATTATCGAGACACTTGAAATCTCATTCTGATGAACGTCCTCACAAGTGTGGTGTGTGTGAAAGAGGCTTTAAAACTCTGGCATCTCTACAAAATCATGTAAATACTCACACAGGTACTAGGCCTCATCCGTGTAAAGAGTGTGCTTCCTGTTTCACGACTTCGGGAGAACTTGTGCGGCACGTTCGCTACAAACACACTCACGAAAAGCCTCATAAATGCACTGAATGTGACTATGCTAGTGTAGAATTAAGCAAATTAAAGAGGCATATGCGTTGCCATACAGGAGAGAGGCCTTATCAGTGTCCACACTGCACATATGCTAGTCCAGATACTTATAAATTGAAACGTCATTTGCGCATCCATACGGGTGAAAAGCCATACGAGTGTGATATCTGCCAAACTAGATTCACTCAGTCGAACAGTTTAAAAGCTCATAAATTGATTCATTCTGGAAATAAGCCAGTGTTTCATTGTGAATATTGTCCAGCCACTTGTGGGAGGAAGACTGATTTGCGCATCCACATGGAGAAATTGCATTCAAGTGACAATCCTCATAGATGCAAAAGATGTGGGAAGGTTTTCCTCGATCGATACAGTTACAAGGTTTGTATGTAATTTTTAGTATAGATGCTGTTTAAAAATGCTGTGTATTTCTCTAAATTTTTTAATTATTATTCAATGAAAATTAATGCTTAAGCTCTCAGGTAATGGCAAAGAAAATAGGTGCGAAGTACTAACCTCTGTGTAGTACTGCTTTTATTGGGTCATGGGTTCTCCAGCCTTATTTTCTTTATATATTACTTTATTATTTAAAATATTTTGTTCTAATTTTTTTCTTTAGTGGTCTAGATACCCAATACAAATGCAAATTTATGAAAAATCAAAAGCAAATTTAATAATTAAAAAAAACTTGATAAATAATTAACTCTGTCATAAAGTTCTTCATGAGTGGATAAGAAAAACTGTGCCGCTAAGAGAGTTGAAAGAAAACTTGTTCCATTGTATAGTAAATAAAATATATATAAGAAGTACAAACATGAGAATTTTAAGAAACATTATATGGTTATGTTATTAAATCTAAATGTACCAAATAACTCCTCTGCAGCAAAGATTGTTCGACCAAATAGTACAAAGTAAAACCCAAGTTAAAATATTTATTTTTGCATTAACCTGATGGTTACAGAAACTGAAAATTTAGCAGATACAGAACTCTGCTAATTTACAGGTAGAATACACTTGCAAAAAATGATAGCAAGCAAATCTTTTCTAGCAAAGTATTACAAGCTGCAGAAATTCAAAGTAGAGTAACATCCAATCTAATCTGCCATTTATACTGTGAACTAATATCCATTGTGATGAAGTAGATGAAAGTAGCCGTACAGGAAAACCAAAATGATAACTTGTAGATTAAAATAAAACCTTATACCTTATAACATATTAGGGGAACAATAACTGTTACTTACTTTATCATTTTTAACTATTTCCAAGTGTTCATGGAGCACAGCTCATAATATTTTAAAATTAAAGTATTCTATTACATTGTGGGGTTCCACCCTTTTATCTAACAGCTTGTGCAGGAACCTCATGAACAGATAAGCGAATAATGGCTTGAGTTCAGGAACAGAGACGTAAAACTCAAGAAGGGTTAATTACCCTTTATTATTCAAAATAAGAATGTACAGTCGGCTAATTTCTCAAAGCGTACAGCAAAGTCTCCACTAGGGCTTGAACTCAAACTAATTATAAGTAAGACTTAATTAAAAGATATAGCCGAAGCTATCAAAAAAAAAACTTTTTTAAGTAGTTGGCCCCTAAATGTCAAATAAACTGGCAAAGCTATCAAGGGCCTGAAATAAACCGAGCATCATAGTAATAGCTTAGAGAGAGAGACGTAGCGAACGCGCACTAGTCAGAAACTCTGCCTCTCTCAAGAAGTCAGTGGAACTTCGGCTTGAATACCACTCTTACTCATTTGCATTAAACTTGATTTTAAAAACACATTCTGGTTGAAAATTGTAAGCTGAAACTAGGAAGGATAGGAAAGTGGCTTTAACTAAAGATAACTGTTAAAAACTTAGGATAAACCTTACATCTTTCCCCACCAGAATTTAACTACTTGAGGAATAAGGTCTCAAAATGCCTTGTTTAAGAGTGTAAATTCTAAAAACTTCTTAAACTTGAATGTTAACTTCTAAAACTGTGCATTCTTCAATCAGTTTCATTAAACTTTTCTGTTTAGGGCCAACTTTACAAAAAGATCTAAAACTAAGAAAATAATTTACAATTTGGGTTGGGTATACAAATCTGCTTCCTCTTGTTGTTTGTCTGGGTTGTTCCACGTTATCTGGAAGCAAAGCGTATTAGTATGTCTTTTACACACATTTCCAATTCCCTTACGATTACTTCTTATTGAAATTCTTTGCCTCCTCCAAGCAGCTTTCATTCATACATATTTTTAACTCTTCTTGCCCCCCCCCAACACTTTCCAGTTTTTTTTTTTTTTTTTTTTTTTTTTTCCTCTTGAAAGAATGGACGTGTCATTGTTGTGTTACTGTGAATACACTAAGCATCATCTACAATTTATTAAAACTTGATATTCCAGAACTCTCTAAATATGAAAGCTACACCTAATGTGCTAAAAGAGAGCTTGATTTAAGCTACTAAATGTTTGCTGGAAAGCCTAACTTTAAACACATTCATTCGATACTTTCTTTTTATTCATTCGTTTATACAAGATTTTTCACTTGCACTTTGACCAAAGTTTACATTTGTAGAAGTTTAATTTTACAGTACTTTTACAACTGACATTTGAAATTTTTACTTTCAATACAACATTTTAACATATAACATTTTTAAAATCAATTTGCATCATTGGTTATAGTTGCTATACAAAATTTACAATCTTTTCCTAAAATCTTAATTTTAAGTTAACAAGTTCCACTATCACTTGAAGTCTTTCTGACTAAAAGATATTCACAAACTAAATTCTCGCAAACTTGTAAAATTAAACTTCTTGCTTTAAACAGCACTTAGCAACTTTAAAAAACATGACATAAATTGAACTTTTAATGCAAAATAAGCAAACAAAAAAAGTTTTCACTTATCTTTTTTTTTTTTTTTTTTTTTTTTTTTTTTTTTCCCTAAACTCCATTCTGATAAGACAGAACTGTTGAAAAGTAGAGTATCTCAAGACCTGCAGTTTCCTCCTTCTGCTTGGCCGACTGGTACCTTCCATTGGAATCTCCTTCCTTTTCTTCCCCCTATGGATAAGACATGCTGATTTCCTGATCAGCTGTGGGTTCTAAAAGTCTATTTTCCTCAGAACTATTTACTTAGTTCTGAGTTACTATTTAAAGTCTATTTACTTCCTGGAGGCCCACTTCGTTGTTCAGGATCTTTAAACCTCTGCTTGGATTTTATGGTTTGTTGAAACAGCACAGTTCCCGCATCAGCTGTTCTTTTTTCTTTGGCGATTCTGTGCTTTGAAGCTCCTCTGACCTCCCTTGGAGTGGTTGTCACCGGAAAACGTAGACTCTCTGGTGAAGCCTATTTTGTTGAAATCAGATTTTGTTATTGTGCTACTCGTTTTACTGGAATGCCATCTGCTGTTCTTTTTCTTTTCACTGACAGTACTAGCATTGGTTGTGGGAGAGCAGGCCTTTTCGTGGTTTTTCTTTTCCTCTTTTTTACTGACCCAGGACCTTGTGTAGTTGCATGCGTTTGGCCGGTGTTTCTTCCATACTTTCAGCCTGTTTCCTTTTGACTGTTGGGGGGTGGCTCCAGCTTAGTATTTGTCTCACTAAAGTTCTTGGCACGCTTCTAGGATAGTGCAATAAATCTTTTAAAACTTGGAAGTCAGTATGACTATAATAAGGCTTTATCTGTTCAATATTAGTAATTATTTGCTGGTCGTTTGCAGCCTTTAACCTCTTCATCATCCGTAACGCGTCTAGCTCGTTCAAGTGAAACTTCCGCAGGACGGCTGTAACGTCCCTCAAGCGTTTTTCTATATTTTTTGAAACTTTTCAACATTTAAGAAGCATTCTGAATGTTTACTTGTTTGAGTTTTTATTGTTGTTTGTTCTAATACCTCCTAGAGGGCAGTACTAATGAGGCATTCTATTTCTAATTGAATTTGCCCCGGGTTTTATGAATATTCGCGCCGTTTTACATAAGACAGTGAGAGATGGCTTCAGCGTCTACTCAGCAGAAAAGGAGAAAAAATGAGGTTGTGAATTGGAAAGACAAAAAGGATATGCATTTGATGAGTACAGTTCATAATAACTCGATGATTGATGTTGGAACACGGAAAAGAACTGTAAAAAAACCAACAATTGTAAAAGATTACAGCAAAATGGGAGGAGTGGACTGCCTGGATCAGATGTTATCAAATTATCCTGCTGTTAGAAATAAGCAGAGATATTATTATTTTTCCATTATGCTTTATTTCCTTATAATTTAATATTCATTGACATTCATCCACTACGAAAGTCATGTATGGAAAGTATGATGTATAGAGAAAACAACATTACATGCTACGAAAAACAGACGACTGCTGGGGGGAATTTTTTCGGACAGGAGAGGACGGTGAAAGGGTTAAATAAAATATTGCTTGTTTATTCTTTTCAACTATGTACAGCCCTTCAAACGCAAGCTCAAATTTAGCAGCTCTGCTTTCCGGTGCAGACAATAACGAATGTTTTAACTTTAGTACTTTTTGACCGACTTTCTGTCATAGTATAACTTTTGTTTCTGCCTTGCTACATCAGAATTTATAATCGCTGCATTAATAATATCTTGAATATCCTTCGATTTAAATTCTTCTTGCCTTTTCTGTACAAAAAAAGAGTTTGTCTAAAGGAGTTAAATTTTTCTCCCTAAAAAAAAGTTCTGCGGGTGTTTTTAGTGTAGTATCATGCTTTGCTGTACTCAAAGCAAAACCTAACTCATTGGCACAGTAGTCGGGGTAATTCTTAACATATCCCTGAATAATTTTCACAGTATTCTTATTTACGTGTTCCATAATATTCGATTATGGTCTATGTTGTACCATTTTTAGATGGTGTATGCCAAGTCCTGTGCAATTTTTAAATAAGTTACTCACAAATTGTTTTCCATTATCCGATATTACTTTTACTGGGGCCTCATATTATAAAATATACTTGTTTAGAAGCTAATCTGCTACTATTTTTGCTGATGCTCGTTTAAGTGGAACTATTTCCGCCCATTTTGAGAAATTATCCACGATGGTTAACGGATTTTCATTTTTATTTATTTTTGTTCTAGGGCAAGGTCCAATCAAATCAGTGCAACCATTTCATTTGGAAAAGCGGTTTTTATGTTATTTAAGTACATGGCCAGGTTGTAATTAACGTCGTTAATTAATTGACACAAGTGACATGATCTGGCATACACATACTCTTTGCAAAGTTTTTCTAATACCTAAATGACCCAAAACTTGTGGATCATGCAGCTCCTCTAAAATATTTAAGTGCAGACTCGCTGGGATCAGTGGCCAGTATTCTTGATTATCATTAGTTATTTTGGTATAAAATAGTACTTATCAATGATTTCTTAATGAGCCACCCTGTGGCAAATAGCCA